CAACCTTTGCTTTTTCATACTTGCAGTAGGTAACTAGTATCTAGGAAATGAAGGACCCTTATTGCTCAGGAAAGGGTTGAGCTGTATAACGCCAATATTGTCAGATGGAGAGCTGGATCCCTCCAATAAGGCATCAGGGACTAACCTCGGACAAGGACACTAAAGACACAATCTAAATACTAAGGAAAGGAGGGAATTCAGGAATCATGATCCGGTTACCAATCCAGGATCAGAAACATATGAACCAACACAACAGGAGAGTTGGAAGAGTTAAGAAAAAAATACTGGGGCCTCCCAGGTGGCACAGCTGGTTGAGTGCAGTGCTGTGAAGCTGCCCATAGCCTCTGCAGCGCTGGTTCCCGTTTGATTCCTGGCAGGTCAGAGAGAAACACACATGGTGTGGCAGACCTCTCCTGCTTCGCCCGCTGCTCCCCTCAGCAGTGTTTTCCATCTGTCTGCCTGTTCTGCTCCCCTCTGTCTCTGGTGAATTCTCTCACCCTCCCATGCCTCTGGCCTGTACCCCAGTTCTTGTATAAATAAATATATCTTTAAAAAAAAAAAAGAGGGGCCTTCCCGGTGGCGCAGCGGTTGAGTGCTGGGTTGTGAAGCTGCCCGCAGCCTCTGCAGCGCTGGTTCAATCCCTGGCTGCTCCCCGGTCACGCGAGGAGGGTCCCACATGGCTGCAGACCTCTCCTGCCGCCCGCTGCTCCCCTCAGCAGTGTACTTTGGTCCTTCTGCCTGCTCTGCTCCCTGCTCTGGCTCTGGTGAATTCTCTCACCCTCCCGCGCTTCTGACTGTACCCAGTGCTTGTATAAATAAATAAATAAATAAAATAAATCTTTAAAAAGAAAAAAATAGTGAAGGTTGAAGGAACAAAACAAGTTAAGTATATCAAAAGAGGGAATTACTGGGCCTCCCCGGTGGCGCAGTGAGTTGAGCATCACGCTGTGAAGCGTCTGCAACCTCTGCAGCGCAGGTTCGATTCCCAGCCGGGCAGGGAGATTCCCACATGGCGCCGCAGACCTCTCCTGTCTTGCCCACTGCTCCTCTAAGCAGTGTATTTTATTTTGTTCCTTCTGCCTGCTCTGCTCCCTGATCTGTTTCTGGTGAATTCTCTCACTCTCCCGCACCTCTGGCCTGTACCCCAGTGTTTGTATAAATAAATAAATATTTTAAAAAAAAGAGGGAACCACTGAAACCCTAAAATGCTAGGTCATATCACTACCTCAGTCTTGCCCAGATAACTTCTCAAGCACAAAGACTGAAAAGCAATGATCAACAGGACAATCTTATTAACACCTTCCTATCCCCACCTACCGCCCAATATCAGTTCCATTCTCCAAAGACCAGGAAGTTTTACACCAGCATTAACCCTCCAAATAACGCCACTACCTTCCATTTTTAGCAACAGCATTGTCACTCTCTTTTAGTCCCTCTCACTTTCATTCTTCTGGCTTTTTGTTCATAGGCTACAAACAATTTCAAGCACTCAATCTGGACACAAGGGTTAGAAAACAATAGGGAAACTGGTAGTCACATAAGGCTTTGACGTGAGGACAGCTCCCCAAGCTGCCAGACGCATGCAGGACTTATACTGCAAGCTGGACCAGGTAGAGGACACATTATCAGTCTTGAAGGTCCACAATCATTCCTCTCTCTGTTAGCAATCTGTGTTCGTCATGCCACTCACTTCCAGTCCATGGACCTGACCTGTGGCACTTCACCTACTCTAATGCTTTTTTTTCTGTGTCCCTGGATTTGCTTTGACATCCTGATTTTGATCACCTGTGGGTGTTTCTCCCAGGCATGGATTTCTTCTAACCCTAGCTCAGAAACCTAATGCTGATTATTTAAGTGTTTGGTCTGCACCCTGGAGTTTTCCCCACTACAATTAACCCTGCCAGACAGCTAAGGAGACACCTATTTTACTGTTAGAGGAGAGTGAGTGTGCATGTCTAATATTTTCTGGTTACTCCGCCACGTGCAAAATGGAGTATTAAATAACTGTTATTTACAAAAGATGATAATCAAAGCCTGAAGTACCCACCTGAGCTGAAGGTTCTCCTTCCTGAGTTTTAGAAGATCCTGGGGTAACAATGCTTTTGCCCTTAGCAGCCCTAAAACCCAGTCATTCAGACAGAGTAACACAAACTAGTAGTATTACTTCTGCTCACAGAGCTAAACAAAGTGCACCAATTAAAAAGGTGGGGTTAAAATTTCTACAACTTAGGTCTTAACACAGAACTTCACTAGCAGCTTGGGGAACTGTTCTTAGGCCAAAGGTGAGGAAACTGTTGTAAGTATAACTCTCACATAAGCTGCATGTTACATCACTGAATCAGATTCAATATGTATTAACTCATTGAAGTCTTATAATTATTTTTGGTAACTACAAAGCTGTATTTTCAAACATTTTTAATATGCGGCAAATAAATTTGGGGAAGGGTTTCTCAATGCTAAAAATTAATAGTAATAATAAATCAGATTAATACCACAGTTCATTTTTGTACAAACACTCCAAGTAGCTCTTAAGGGTAATTTCCAGGATTAAGCTTAACATCTAGTAAGTGCTTATTAAAACACTATGACAGAGCTATTTCAAGGGTATTTCTTATTTTACCAACAGCAATGGGAAACTTGCACAAGGATGAACCGTTATCTCACAGCTCCTTTACATCTTTACAGTTCTATTTCAGAGCTAAACAAGTGAGTTCTCAGTAGTCAACTGATCTACAGGTAAAATGTCAAATCTAACTCTTCATGCATACATTGCCTCTGTGTATTTATACATGTCAATTTGGTCTGTGTGCTTAAGTGATGAGGGAACAAAGTCAGATGTGATGAGTTGTTTTTCAGAGAGACCAACAAAAAATACATTTTCTGTACACAGTCAATATCAGTCAGCAAATCTGTATCAAATTGTAATGTATATTAATACAAAAACACTTCCAGTACTGCATGAAATCATGGAATTCAAGGGCACACTCCATCCATAAACTGACTGATATGCTATATTAGCGCTCTCCCCAGGCTAAACTGTCATACCTACTCAAGAATTCTGGGTGATAAAGGTAGACAATCCTATCTGGTGGGTATAGGTGTAATAGCTTATCAGTCTGTAAGTCCTATGACCACCTTAGAAGTGCTTCTTAAGAATTGGAATTTTAAAGAGCATTCCAATACGGGCTCTCAAAATAGCCATTTAGAGGATCAGATTACAAATGGAAAAGCAATTCCCTGTTTTCATTCAAAATTTGAGTAAGCATTATAGAGTTCCAAATGTTAATCAATTATTCACTAAGAAAAAGCTTTTTAAATTCAAACTGAAGTATATCCTTTATTTAACTTTAAAACCTATTAACCATGACTAAAGCCCATCCAGATTATGACGATGGTTAATATAGTAAAGTACACATAGCACAGACTGAAAAAGCAAGAAATAATTATTTAAAAGTACTTTCTGTAGCATCTGGGAGGAAAGTTTAGAACTTTAGCTATAGGATAACTTTCCCTCAAGACCCAGCCAAGTTAAACTGGATGTCATGCACAGATGCATAAGGATAATGCAGTACTCATCCAGAGGAGCCTAAGATAATTATTTTCTTTATACTTAGAAAGGGACACAATAAAAATAGAAATCACTTCACATTCTAAGACAAACAACATTTTATTTCAACATATAATCCAGAGTAGAACTCTTAGCCTGTGCACGTTTAGAGGTCTCTGTGTTACATACACAATTTTGTATATGTATGCATCTTCCTAAGAAAGGAGTCTATAATTCTCATCACATGGTGAAAGAAACATGACCAAAATCAAAGCTAAGATTCCAGTGGTAAAAATCATAAAATTTATTCCCACTATTAATTTCTCATTAGCTTTATATGAGCCACCAAAGAAAAATGGTTAGCAAAGAACAAAACTAAAAAAGAGTAAGATTGTGCATACACATAATAAATTTCAACACAGGTAGCATTTTATACTAATTTGATATAAATCCACTCCAAAAAAATCAAGTAAGAAACTGAGACCATACCTCCTTTTATCAAACCACTTTGACAAACTCTCAAAGTAGGGGATTAAAGTTTATCTTGTCTGCAAACCCATTCTTCTCAATTCTTATTTGTTACCATGCGACTTTTATGTTCAGTGAGAATATGATCAGAACTAGCTTTTTCTCCTTTTTCAACTTTTAAATAGCCCCTCAATCCTGAAACTTTCCTGAAATCTCACACATATTTAACAAATACCATTTGACATAAGAACAAAACAAATGAATAAATTACAATTACATGGGCCCACTGGGAATCAGTTGGAATCAGTCCATTACAGGAACCAACATAAGCCTGCCAAGTACAGTCTATGGGCCACTCTCCATTCCTGGCCACTCTTAACTATTTTTTTTCTTAATGAACTTATTAAATGGCATGACACAATAAGGACAGAATGCGACAGCATTATTACAAGGTAGGCATTTTAATACAACTTTCAAACCAGGGAACAGGGCAGTACTGAGTGGAGATGAAATAAACAAACAGAAGCCGAGCCGGTCAGGACCGAGTAAGGTTGAGGTTAGTGGCAACAGCATGTGTGTGGTTTCCAGGAAACCTTCAGTAAGACTGCTGTTAGCCCTAGCCCCGCACCTTGCCCAACCCAGTGTGCTGCATCTTCTTCCAGCTCCCGCCTGGCTCAGCGCAGCACTGCCCTGCTCCCAGGGGTGCAGCCGCCCGGCCTGAACTCACCTTGGCAGTGGAAGGGCCTGAAGTTTAAAATACGTTAATGCATCATGCCAAAAGTGCAATAACATGCACACTCACACTTATGTTTCCAGAGAGACAGAAAACCTCTACACAAAACACCCTCGAAGAATTCAAAAGAACAGTTTTTACATACCCATATTTACCATAAAAGAAAGAACAGAACAACAGTGGTAATACTCCATACCATGACATTGCACCTAATGGATTCAAGTACCAATAATAATTATGGGCATCACCTACTTTAACTGCCATTATTTGTGCACTTGGTTTGTGGACCATTTTGTTGACAGAACCATAAGCTCCTCGTCCAATTTCTCCAAGGTCTTTCAAGTCCTCTGCAGTGAAATCCCAGTGCTGTTCAGGGGAGATCTTCAGTTTTCCTGATGATTCAATGCTGTGTGTTCTCAGTCTCTCTCTGTTAAAATATTGGGAACCAATTTTTCCATATTTATATAGGTTTTAACTTTGTTCTTTTAACTAGCACTGATAAATACATGGGAAAATCTGTTTTCTCGTGTTACTAAAATTGTCTACCTTCTAGGTCTTAGGAGATTTTTGTTTATGTCATCTTGGTTTTTTTACACACTGAATTAATTAAGAAAGGTCTAAATTTAGGTAGTCAATAAATACAGCTTCAGTAGGATTCAGAAAACCAAATTTCCATTTATTGAGCTAACAAATTCTACAGACCAGTTTCCACTTTCCAATATAAGGTCTTTCCCAAACTTTGTAAAACTGCCTATCAAATGCAGAATCCCAGGAACTATACATCTCAATATCAAAAAGTTCTTATCCTACCTTACCCAACATTAATTATTCTAGGTCCTCAACCCTTAGTACAGTTCCTAAGTATAAGAATCACCTGGGGAAATTTAAAATCTCAATGCACATTAGAATCACCTGGGGAGATTTAAAATCTCAATGTACAGGTATCATCCCATAGCAACTAAGTCAGAATATCTAGAGACAGGAGTCAGAAAACAGTAGTTTTAAAGTTCATGGATGATTCTAGCAAAGTCTGGAATTAGTGCCTTATGCCTATTCGTGTTAGTGCCATACTGAGACAGAGGAATAATTAAAATAGCCAGCTGGTTCTTGAGAAGAAAACTCTCATACTACTATTCAAAATTGAACCTTTTACCACTTGTTCAATAAATAGGTAGAGCAACATCAGTTTTCATTCATACAAGTGCTTCTCCGTTTACAAAATACTGTCACTGACATTATTTATACTCTAACATCCAGAGTCATAAGAAGCCCAGAGTCAGGTCTAGAGATGAAGACTGAACTCACTTTTTAAGATGGAAATCAGTTCTAGGCAAGTAGATCAAGCCCTGTGACTAATTTTCTCAGCGATCTTTTTTGTGAAGTAGACAGATTAAGCCAGGAAATATTCTAACATAATGAAATTTCATGTATAGTGATTATTGTTCTATGATCACTGGCAAGTAACATGATTTCTATGACTCATTTTAATCACTGATGAAATTTACACCACCAGCCCATTAGGTTAGCTGAAAAGTTAATTGAAATTAGTTGTAAATTAGAAGGAATATTTAAAAAGTATTCACATTTTTAAGGGCAGTGCAAATAAGCTCTAAGATGGAACCTGTATCTCCACTTTCCTGGTGCTGGTATTCCCATCTTTGTGTAAGAACCTTTCCTTGAATATGGATGGGACCTGCAACTTCTTTCTAACCAATAGAATACAGCAAGAAATATCACTGTATTGTGATTACATTATGTAATACTTATTGCTACCATTCTTGAAAAAATAAATTAACATTTTATTATTATATAAGAATCACAGAATGGCAATAGTTATAACATTGTTACTTTAAAGATGGAACTTTGGAACCATGGACTAAATCTCTGTTAACAGTTCAGCAACTGCAGACTATTACGTGCTTTATGGATAAAGTCCTAGTTTTCCTTCTGAAAGTGAATAGACTGACAACTAAGGGGTGTGGGTTATCTTCTTGGACTACAGAAAATGTTAAAAAATTACAAAAGGTGACAGATGCTCTGAATATATTAAAGGAATTAAGTTGTATGATTTAAATGAGTGAGTGCTATGGCATGTGAGTTATATTTCAATAAGCTGTTAAAAGGAAAAGATAAACACAAGAATATGATAACTAGGTGATAAGGTAGAAGTAGGGAAAGTAAGGGGTTGAACAGAACATAGTTGAATAGCAGCTGGGGACTGGTTGACCCACTGGTGGTGGACAGGATATGAAAAAACACATTTGTAAAGGTTTAAACCTAAAACCTCCAAAACAGATACTACAAAATAAACCTACTTTACCTCAATAAACATAATGTGAAAAAAAATACGTAACTTCCCAGAGTTCCATTTTCTCATTTAAACAGGAAAAAAAGTGACGAAAACCACAGAAAAATATAAATACTGGACAGGGAAACTTTCAGGTGAAATGGAATCGATTTCATAGCTATTTTTTCTAGCAGTTCCACCACATGACGATTTCCAAAGAACAGTACACACACAGAGCACTGTAGTGACTGGATCTAGAAGCCTGACCTGAACCTTTACCATGAAACTAGCAGTCAAGCACTGAGACAAAATCTTAATTGTAGTTTTTATCTTGGGGCAAATTTGTCAAATAAGATTATTTCTCAATTAAGATCTGATACGAGGCTGTATAGGAAATTTAATCATTTTGTTATTAATTTCTTATCCCCAACTTGACTCTGTGAACCCATAAGTTATTCCAGGGCTTCTGCCCTATCAGCAATTAAATTTAGCATGCAAAACTTAATTAGTAGAGCCCTTAATATATTTTATCCCTATGATTCTCATAGAAAGAGGTACATACCATACCCCAAGAACTTGGAAATGGGAGTGGAGGAGGGGACAGGCAGCAGATCAGTCATCAGTGACTGGGCAGTACTACAGGCATTCAGTGGCTGGGTGCCAATGGTGTTAAATGTCTTCAATAAACAGGCAAAAGCACTTCCTTGAATAAAATTCTTACACTGGTTTCTATGATTTCTTAGAGCACATCTAAATCCTATATCCAATAATTCTTGATTTCTAGAAAGTAGCCATTCCATATACTTGGGAAAACACACACACACACACACACTCACACACCACACACACACACACACACACACACACACACACACACACACCTGACATAGATACTATACGTATCCCCAAAAAGTGAAATATATTCCAAAATGTAACTTCTGTAAAACATGCAAGATTATAGGTATAATACTTAACATAGTTTGTACGTTCAATATATGTCTTATTAAAATACAATTCAATGTGTATAAATTTTTTTAAATCAGGGAATTATGTTGTTACATGAAAACCTAATTTTTGAGCTATAATTTTATAGTTTCTGAAAACTATGTTTTGATTGAAGTTCTTTCTGAGTATTTTCTTTTATCTTCTAAATAGAAATTACAAATTTACTCATTTACTACTTAATACCAAATAATCATTTTAATTGCCATTCTTTCCTTGACCCAGACTATTCTATAAATTTCTGAAATCCTACAGATTCAAACAAACAAACAAACAATCAAAAAACTGTGAGAACATATTCCAGAACATTAATCAGACTGGGCAGTGAGAAAAGCTTTATTTCTAGTCAATGTGTCTAACAAATCTGCCTAGGGCTTTGTGTATAGGTAGGTAGGCTCGTTTTTAAAGAAAGAGAATGGCTAAGTCAAGGTTACCTAGGAAAGCTTTAGCCTACCTCCTACCCCTACCTTCAATTAAATACCATATTTTGCTATACAAATTCAGCAGCAGGATAAGTACCTGACCCTCTTTGTCCAACCAGATTATTCAATCCCAAACCCTTCTTAAAGCTACACAAGTGGAGGAAAAATTAAAAAGAAAAAAAAATCTTAAAACTGAGAGCCACTTAGAACAATACATAAACTTTACATATTTTTGTTTTGTATATATAGGTTATAAAATAACACTGTCACACCTTGTTTTATAAATTTCAATTACATATTTCTGACTTATCAGTCATCATATGTCCCACAATCAGTCATTTCTGACTTATCAGTCTTCATATGTCCCACTATTGCAATGCCATATAGTGAATAGGCACTGATTTAGCAACTTGTAGTGAGATGCCTTCTGCTCCCAGTCTACACCCTTTCCCCATGTGCCAAACTCAAATGATGAGGGTTAAAACACTTTTTAAAGTTGCCTTCTGACTTCCTACTCTCAGAATTGAACATTCTTATGCTATTTGGTACACAAGTGCTTCTTCCTTTGTTAACTGCCTGGTAACACCCCTGAGCCCTGCTAGCCTAGGTGTTTATTTTGTTGTTGCTGCTTTTGCTAAAAAGTTGTTTATCTACTAACATCATCAATCTGGTCCTGCATTGCAAATATCTTCCGTTTGTTTACTTTCTCATTTCATTTGTGAATTGATATGTTTAAAAAAAAATCAGTACTATATATATTCTTTTTTATTAAATGCCATGATTTCTTTCACTGAAGAATGCCAATCATGAGAAAGATGCGTTTTTTCAAAGTCATGAAGATATTGTTCCCTATTTCTGTAATTTCTGCTCTCCCCTGACAACGAATGTCAGCGTGGCACCTGCACTGGAAATAGAGATTGACTCTCACACATGAAACTGAAAAATATCAGACAAAATAAGTGAGAGAGTCTTCAAGACAATGGACATTAGAAAACAATGGGCACTGAACACTGAGATACAGGACATAGAGAGGTGAGCTCTGCAACTGGCTCCAGTTTATTGCCTGGAGAGCTCACAGGTGGAGATGCAGAGTTGGGGGATCCAGCAGATCCTGGTGGCACTCTCATGTTGAGATGTAAGCGGAGTCTGGGGAGAGCAAAGGAGCAAGTGTTCACAAGGCAAAGAACCAGATAAGAGAATCTCACAGATCTGCAGAGAGCCAACCTTGATCAGCACATGTTCATAAAGAAGCGTGCACTGATCTGGAAGAAGAACTGCTCAATAGGATTAGAGGGAACAATACCCAGGTTTATACCACACAATTCCTGTTGCTACCCATGAGTGAAAACTCTCCATAACTCCTAGAGAATGCAGTAGATTACTTAAAAGGATATAGTCTCACCTATTAAAACCAAAAAGCAAAATCCAAAAAGATCAAAGTTGATAAGAGTATAATACACCCAAATTCAAGCATACAGTCTGAAATCACTGATTATGCAAAGGAATAAAAAAAAACCCACATAATGAAGAGAGAAATCAATTGAAATCAACCCACAAATGACAGAGATAGTAGAATTACTAAATGAAGAGAATAAAACGTGTTTATTACAACAGACTATATATTCAAGTAACTAAAGAAGGACAAAATATGTTACACAGACATGCAATATCTCAAAAAGAACCAAATCAAATATCTAGATATACAAACTACAATAA